TGCGGTGGTTGCTTGTCTCCAAAGGAAGCTTCGTAGAGCGTAGACTCTTCGGCCTGGATCATATGGCCGAAGGCTTCATGTATGACCGAAGGCTTCATGTATGGCCGAAGGCTTCATACGGCCGAGGGCATGACATAGCCGAGGGGTACTGAGGGGTACTGCCGACACTACAAGATAAGTGCACATAGACCGCACATAGACCAACTTTTTTTTTGCAATGGCCGCATAACTGTCGTTAAAAACACTATTAACCACACATTTTTTTTATTTACCACATACAAAATTGTGTTAAAAGGTCAGAGACGACAGTTTTTAACTGTGGCCAATGTTACGTTTTTACCACGGCTGTTGTGGCGACGCACGTAAAACGGACGCAAAACTGTCGTAAATGTTCCTCATGTTTTTACGACAGTTTTGCGATACTTTTACGTGGATATCAGGCAGACACCTAGCAGGGGAAAAGATTCTGGGATTTGATTGAGATTGGTTTAAGGGCGCAACGAGGACGTTGCGATCCTAAGTGGGGGTGATTGTAACACTTGAGATTTAATATAAATGGATTAATAGTACTACTCATACCAACAAGATGCATCTTCTTTTTAAGGGAGCTAATTACCCAAGAACTCCAAAGTTAAGCGTGTTTGCACGAGAGTAGTCTTGGGATGAGTGACCCCCTGGGAAGTTTCTCAGGGCGCGCATGAGTGAGCACAAAGTGCGCGGAAAAGGCTAGTGACGGTTTGTGAGGACAGTACTAGAGGTCTGGAGTAACTACCTCGGGCCCTACGGGGAGGGATGTTACAGAAATAACTCAAATAAACAAGGAGCTGATCGTGTAAATAATACGGAGTAATACAGTAAAACTTTTGTCTTATGGGAATGATAAAACTTTTGTTTGTCACATAGTAATAGCAATAACAATTCTCATAAACCTTAAGTAATGTTTTTACTTAAATGGTTTTTGGTCTTAGATCAAGTTAAACAAATTAGATCGGACTACACTTTATATTTATAAAATGCACACATGTCACACATTTATCAGATCAGTTTAGACATTGTACAATATTTATACAGATCACATTAGACCAGTAAATTTTACTCCAAATAAAAATATCCTAAGAGAAAGCTGGCAGTACGTTCACGATAAAATATGTCTATCTATCTATCAGACTAACACTAACACTCCACCTGCCCCCATTGGTCTTGATATGGACATAGGCTGAAGCTTACGTATTGTTAATTTATTTGATACTTAATTAGTCGTGTACTAGTGCAGCATGCCAAACGAGATAAATTGTTCGATTGAATTTATTAGAAAATTAAAGGATTATTAATTTCATCTTCCATCCTCATCAAGTTTGGACAACTTGTGAAATCAATATTGACATCATTAAAATTTAGAAATAAATCCACTAACTAATTTTGTAAGATCCTTCATAAATGATCCTTTAATATGTAATCATTAATAAATGATCCTTTAACATGTAATCAATGCACAAGTAACAAGAACTACACACATCTCTACCATGAAGTATATCTCTACATACTATGAAGTATATACATCGATAAATATTTAACAAAACTTGATACTAATTATCATGAACAAATAATTCGATAAAAATTCACTCAGTTAGAACAAGAATTAAAATCATAGATTAAGCTAGTAAATTCTGAAAGCTGGGACTAGAATTAAATTTATATACTTGCATGAACACCAAATTAAAATCACTCTCAAGATAATAGTTTGTGCGTCAATCTAGACATACGAAGTATATAACAAATGAATGACATACGAACTTATGAACAAATCATGTTAGTAACAATACAGTAATTGTAATTATGGGATTGATAAAACTTTAATTTTGTTCGTCCCATAATACGAGTAAACACAATTCTCATAATCGTAACCCTAATTTATATATGTGCCGACGATTCCATGCCTCGAACCAAATTTGATGGGAAAGTGGTATGGCCGTATGTGGCTACGAAAGCAACTCTTGGATCATTGAACTCACATCTTCTTCTCTGAGTATCTCCGGCTGAATTGAAGGGTCGGAAATTAGGCATGGCAATGGGTCGGGGCGGGGCGGATACTGCAAGACCTGGACCCGCCCCGTGACCTGCACGGGTCCAAACTTTTTGGCCCATGACCCGCCCCATGCGGGCGGGTCCGCCACACCCCGCCCCGTCAAAACCTAATTTGCTATTATGTATTTTTGTTTGTGGGAAGTTGTTACATATTGAATCTACATAAAATTTATCTCTAAATAATAATTAAAATTAATATATTAAATCAAATTCATGATACGCTAAAAATTTCAAAAATTAAGGAAAAATTACTCATACTTGAATAGTTAATCTGTTTAATTATATTAATAATTGAATATACTCTGTATGTATTAAAATGCTATATATAAAGAAGACATTGATAATCCGTCGTTCATCTCATTCTAATAAATATATTAATATATTATAAGATCAAAAAAATTATGATTTATTGTATATATACACATATGTATGTTGAAGTATATTTGTAATATAATTTAAGAAAAAGTATGTATACTTATATAACGAGCGGGGCGGGTCGGAGCGGGTCGGGGCGGCACGAGTCAATGCTAATACCCGGACCCACCCCATTGTATAGGCGGGGTGGGGCGGACCCGCCCCATTTGCAAAACGGGGCGGGGCGGATCCGCCCCAAATATCTCGGGCCAGTGCGGGTCATTGCGGGTCGGGTTTTTTTGACATCCCTATTGGAAATAAGACGATCACCCGGAACAGAGGACGGCGGCGAGGAATATTCTGGAATATTCTGCAGTGAAGAAGGATAAAAATGTAAAGTGATAATAATGTTTCCTAAAATATGACTATATAAATCTTACGGATGGAAAAATGATACTTGAGTCCTCCTTTTGTAAAGACGGTAGCTTTTGGTCTTATGAATAACAATTTTCTCATTACAAATTAGTTACTCCGAGTATCACTAGGATTCGGATTCTCCCAAATCCCAACACATTTTCTGCTGGTTGGACTCATTGCTTTGTGGTCAAGTATGATGTATTATTCGTCAGTCCTCGTTGTTTATTACAACGTCTAATATTACAACTAAAATCCCTTACAACGTCCATTAATAATTTTACTTATTACGAATTATTTAATCAAAATTTTCGAGGGAAATTTTACTCATTGCGATGGAAATGTTTGCGTATAAGCATAAAACTTAAAGTAATTTATTTTAATGGAACTTTTTTATAAATCAGGTTTTTCCCTAATCTTTAAAACTTTTTATAAAACTTTTAGAGTATTGAATTAAAATCAGGTTTTTGTATTTTTACCCTTTTAATAAAAAGGTAAGGTGTTCTGATCCCCGGCCCTTATCCCACTTCAGGTGGATTAACACCATGTTTAATAAAAATTAAAATCAGATTTTTTACTTTCTATTTTCTTTTTCAAAAACAGACTAGCTAAATATTTCCTTTCAGAAAAAAAGTAGATAAAATTGAAAAAAATAAAAAATTGAAACCAGATTCTATATATTAAAAAAAACACAATACAATTCTTAAATTTTCATAAATAAAAAAATTAAAGAAACTAAAAACTAAAAGTAATGAATATATGTAAAATAAAAATTGGAAACAATTGAAAATATTGAATTTTGTAATTAAGAACTTTTAATGATTTTATAACATTTAAATATTATTAGTATTATAATTTGGATGTTAATTTTCGTTACACATAGTTTCTCCCAAAAGGCTATGTCTAGTTCCCGCGACCGTGTCCAAGAAAACCTGTACAGAGCAGGACCCTCCATTGCTACCATGGCCGACACCAACTTCAACTCAGACCGGGTCTGATCGATTTCAAACGGTTGATTGACCCTGGCGAGCCATCCAATCCGGTCTGTCCCCTCAAACGCGGGTGGCGCCAGAGGCGTGGTCACAGACCCTGGGTTGGGGGAGTTCTGCGAGTCAGTCGTGCCCCCATATCAGATGAACATTGAAATTGTTCGATTGAATTAATTAATTAGAAAATTAAAGGATTAATAACTTGCATCTTCCGTCCTCTCAAAGTAAAGTTTGGATGACTTGTGAAATCAATATTGACATCATCAAAATTTAGAAACAAATCCACTAACTAATATTGTAAGATCCTTCATAAATGATCCTTTAACATGTAATCAACGCACAAGTAACAAGAACTACACATCTCTACCATGAAGTATACATGGATAAATACTAAATATTGATACAAAACTTGATACTAATTATAATCAACAAATAATTCAATAAAAATTCACTCAGTAAAAACAAGACTTAAAATCATAGATTAAGCTAGTCAATCCTGAAATTAAAGTTGGAACTAGAATTTATATATAATTTAAGAACATAACTAGTTATTACTTATCTTCTAATATTTGCTCACTGCATGTAACTCTATTATGTAGTATGGAAAATACACGTAGTATGAATTCATTCATAGTCCATAATATTTCTATCAACTTGAGATTGAGTTATTTGAGATGTATGTGTTAGTGTTCTTAGTTTAATTAAATCGACTAATACTGAATAGAGATACAGTTAAAACAAGAATTAAAATCATAGATTAAGCTAGTAAATCCTGAAATTAAAGTTGGAACTAGAATTTATATATAATTTAAGAACATAACTAGTTATTAATTATCTTCTAATATTTGCTCACTGCATGTAACTCTATTATGTAGTATGGAAAATACACGTAGTATGAATTCATTCATAGTCCATAATATTTCTATCAACCTGAGATTGAGTTATTTGAGATGTATGTGTTAGTGTTCTTAGTTTAATTAAATCGATTAATATTGAATAGAGATACAATTAAAATTTGATAATAACATAGAAGCTAGAAGACATTTTATTAGTAATCAACCAATATGTCAATGAAATTCCCGAGTATGCTAAAACAAAAAATGAATCATGCATCTACTAAATAATAATAACATCTCAAATTAAATAATTTGTGGAGATAATAATTTGTGTATACATTTGACAAAAGAATGAAATAAGGAACTGAGATCATGTAATACATACAATAATTGGCATTATGATCGAGCATGATTATATATACTTTAGTCCCATAATTAATAATAGCAATTCTCGATGATATAAACCCTAAAGTCAGAAGAGAGTAAAATTGATGGCGGGATGAGTTCAAAATATAATAGTAAGGCCCTACGACCACAGCAACTCTTGGATCATTGAACCCACATCTTCTTCTCTGAGTATCTCCGGCTGAATTGAGGGGTCGGAAATAAGATGATCACCGCCCTGCAACTCTTGGATCATTGATTCAATGTCTTCTCCACTAATTAGCCAATCTTCTTCCCAACCAGTCTTCTTCTCAACTGGTGAGTAGCCGCAGGGCTCAGAAATAAGATGGTCACCGGCCAGAACCGAGGACGGCGAAGGACACCCGCCCTGCAGTTGCGCCCCTCGGATCACCGGATCACCGGACAACGGCGAAGGAAACAGAGGACTGCCGCTGCCCTGCTCCAAAATCCCAGTTGGGTCGCCATACACATACGGCTTTCCCGCCGGAGAGAACACCACCGCCGCAACTTTAACTCCGGGGAATAGGCGGCACAGATCCGATGCCTTCTTGAACAGCCCATTCCTCCGCTTGCTGAAGCATACATTCCGAGCTGCCAGTGACTCGATCGGTTTAATCTCGATCTTTGATTTCCCTCTGCCCATTTTCTCTCTCTGTGCTTTTCTATCGATATGATCATAATACTGAGAATAGTTCCTTCTACGGAATAGAATTTAAACATTCCTAATTGCACCGCCTACGATTGCACCGCCTATCAAATATTTCCACTTTTTTATTTTTTAATTAAAACATTTCGTCTGGATTGTTTAATTGTTCTACAAAAACATACGCTCATGCATTCTCTCTCATTTTGCCTCACATTTTGTTAAAACCATCTTTCCTAAAATCAGATTTAAAAAATTTATTTACACAAATATAATTAATTGTTATTATAATGTAATGAAATAGTAACTCAAGAATACAAATTGAACACAAGTTACTATGATTTTATATTTTTATTACTATTCTAGTCATTAGTTACATTTTTGTGAACAATTTTTATTTTAGTCATAAATGTGCAAATATTACTTTTTATTTTTAATTGAACATACTTCCTTAATGTGTAGATTAATTTTTTTTATCTTTTAGATTATGACCAAATCTTGATGCACAATTTGCACAGATTTTTTTAATTTTTTTGATGTTGAATTTTTTTCCTTTTTTTTGTACAATTTAAGAAGTAACATGATTTGATATTGGGACGACATCGTACTGCCACGTTTATAATTATGATCGTACAGAACTGCTTTAATTTTGGGACCTAACCATGCATACTGTGCAACTAAAATAGTTACATTGTTTCGATCAAACCAGAGAAAATTGGATTTAAATTGACTAGACATATATAGATAGATTAGACCATATTAGACCAATAGTAGATTTAGAAAATATCAAAATGCACATACACCAAACATTTATCGGACCAGACTAAAACCTGGTATACCCGATCAAAATGGATGAGACTAAACTAGACCAGATTTCCTTTCAAAAATTTACATATGCAATATTGATGTCAAACGAAGTTATATATTGTAAGAACTTATGTAATTTAATATATTTTTTGTAAAATCAATCTAAATTTGATCATTTGGGTTTGGGTAAACTCCAGGGCCAAAAAATTTGTCATTTCATAAAATTTAAACCGTGATTTTGGGTAGTATAATATTATGGAAATTAAAAAATTTATAATGAAAGTGTTTACAATAAAGAACATTTTGTAAAGTAAGTAAAAGTAATGACAAAACTGGCAGTTCGTATATCTATCACAAACACTACATACCCCCATTGATCTTGATATGGACATAGGATTAGATATAGTTAATTGATACTACCTCCGTCCCTTTTTATTTAGCCAATTTTGACTTTTCCAGTCAAAGATGATAAATTTTAATCTATTATTTTATCTAATATATTTATGTAAAAGTTAATAAATTTATACTTTTATGATAGTATTTTTAACAAAGAACATTTTCATACGGAGTATAATTTTCATATTATCAATATTATCTTGCATAAATATGTAATCGATCAAAGTTAAACAACTTTGACTTGAAAAACAGTGTTTGACTAAATAAAAAGGGACATGGGGAGTACTTAATTGGTAGTGTACTGGTGCCGCATGCCAAATATCTAGTTTTCAAATCAAATGGCGCCGGTCCGGGCGCGCGGTTACTTATGTATATAAATCGATCGGTGGAGGATTTGATTTTTATGGATATGATGTAGAATATTGTACATATAAGTATGTATGTAAATCGAGTAAGTCATCACCGCCTATACATGATAGTTCAAATTAAATTATGGAGGTCTAGCTAAATATGAATTGATATAATTTCTTGAATACTTGAAAGTGTACAACATGAGATTTGTGTAAACTCCAAGTTGGATGTATCGATTGACGGGTGCGTAAATTGTGAGGTTATTGAGTTATCAAATACTCCCTCTGTCCCGAATTATAAGATAATTTTCGGTTTACGATGTTTGATCAAATGAATAGTAAAGATATCTTATAAAATGGGATGGAAGGAGTATGAAGTATTCAAGTTCTATGATATGGTATGTATGAGATTGTGTGCAGTCATGCAGATGAAAATGACAATGACATAAAGATAATTATATGTAATGTTCTAAGTTAGCCGTGCCCCCAAGTAACTATCTGAGCTGAGTGTAGCGGGAGATCCTCTCGCGGGGAGTCCCGGGGTTACTTCTGATGGGATGTAGGCTAGCTATCTGAGGTCATCGGCGAGGGGCCAGGACACGAGCTACATGCCTATAAACTCAAGGAACAATTGATATGCACTAATTAGTAGTGCATAGATGTATGTTTTTATGTTTGATTTGTGTGTATTGTTTATCGTTTTATTTAGTTTGTAAACATTTGTGTGATTTTAGTTGTAATTGTATTTTAATCTTCATTTATAAGTTGTAAAGTAGATTTAGGATTTATGGTGTTGGAAAAGAGGACTTTGAAGAGAAGAAAACAAGAAATTTGACTGCCCAGGAGCAAAACCTGACCGGGTAGAAATCCCCACCCGGTCGGGTACGATTTAACAACCGAAGAAGCAAGGAAAGTGCCAGACCCGGTCGGGTCCCCTACCCCACCCGGTCGGGTCAGACATGACCCGGGACCAAACGACGTGCAGAAGCATGAGAACATGGCGGATTATTTGATTTTGACATGCACCCGGTCGGGTGGGCACTTGACCCGGTCGGGTACCCGGCCCAAGGTGTTGAAAAACACCTATAAATAGCACATTTTTCCTTCACAAACATCAATACCTTCTTCCTATACTTAAGCTCAGTTTAGAATAGTTATTTCTTATATTTTTATAGTATGTTTAGTCTCCAAATGAGGAGCTAAACTTCCATTTCTTGGTTTTGCTCTTGAAGCTTGTTGATTATTAAAGTTGTGAGTTATTTTCTTACTTTCTCCTCTTGATTATTAATTCTTCCCTTAATCTCATTCTATATTAATGTTGGAGGGTTGCTAAGTGACGATTAGTTAACGTTCCAACATTAATTATTACTAGAAACGATCAACGAACCGATGGTTAATCGTTGATGGTTTCACAAGTAAGTAACTTCGGTTTATTAATGCACGGTCGTGGTTAATAAAATTAAGAGGGATTAATTTTGTTGGTTAAACCGAAACCATTGTGTTGAGGTTATCAATCTCAATTGATTTCATCAAGGAGTTAAATGCTACTATTATATCGGTATACGGCGTTGTTCTATATTTGATAAATAGTAAGGGTTATTAATGAACGGTCGTTGTTAATAACTACCCTCGATGAATTGGAGATACTCCGCGATTGAGTATTCGAGAGGGGATAAGTTATAGATATAACAATGATCGACTAAAATATATCAACAAGTGGAAAGTAGCAAGACCAAGTCCCTTTTATTCTTGAATTTAATCTCATATAAGTCATTCATCTTTGTGTTTAAATTAAATTAAATCATTCAACCCAAAAACCCCCCTTTATTTACTTCTTTCATTAAAAATATAATTATTCCTTTCCATGTGGATACGAGCTCTACTTCACCTATACTACGTATAAGTGTTAGTATTGAATTTATTTTGACGCACCGTGACAAAGTGCCCGTCAAATTTGGCGCCGTTGCCGGGGAAAAACAATTATTTTTCTTTTTTTTTTTTCTCAAAAAAAAAAAATTACTCTTCTATTTTCTGAGCTTACATGAGTATATGGATACCAAGATATCATCCCTAGAGAGTCAAATTTCCGTCTTAACTTCTCTAATAAAGGAGTTTATTTCATGTTCAAAATCTCAAGAAGTCCATACATGCAACATTTGCATGTCACATAGGCATCTTACGGATTTTTGCCGAGAGCTTCAAAAAGAATACTTTGAACAAAGGGGTGATGTTGGTTTCCAAGAGAGGTATGATTCATTTTCCAACACATATAACTCATACTCAAGTTCTTATTCCAGCATGTCCACTGAAGACATGATCCGAGCTCTCACTATCAATGTGACAAATATGCAACAAAATATGTCACAATGCCCGCAAGAAACAGTGTCCAACGAACAGAACTTGGACAATCAAGTGAAACAAATGCCAAGCGTTGTGAACCACATGGGCGAGGAGGAGGAAGAAGAGGAACTTACGGAGAAAGCTCAACCGGAGGAGGAACCTCAAAACTCAACTCAACCGCCGGCCATTCCTGAGATCATGCCACCATTTCCTGAGGCTCTAAATGAAACGCAAAGGGTAGAGAAGGACAAAGATATCTATGAAATCTTCAGCAATTGTGAGTATAATTTAGACTTCTCTTTGTTCACAAATAAGCAAGGAATAACGGTGGAGTTACACAAATATTTCATACTCCCTCTTATACCACCCGGATCAAAACCTCTTCCATTGACCATGCTTAGTGAAAATCATGGACCCTCATTCTCACAATATGAAGCGATAAAAATCCGGATATTTGATCCCGGAAAGATTGTCAAAATAGAGGGTCGAAAAATAATATGTTTCTATAAGAGTCACCCGGGTGAAAATTTGAAGAAGATGAGTTATCACGATCCAAGCTTGAACGATTGAACACAATGATGGCGTCGTGCCGCGACGTTAAATAAGGCGCTTCTTGGGAGGCAACCCAAGCAAGGTATGTTTTCTGTTATCATTTTATTAAGTAGAGTGTGTGTGCAAAAAAAATCCGGGATTAACTATTATCCGACCGGGTAGACCCTAATACCCGCCCGGGTGATCTGGCAAAAACTTTCTGCCTCGGGTGAACAGCTTACACCCGACCGGGTCAGTCACTATACACGGCCGGGCGGTCGGGCAAAAGCCCGATAAGGGGGCGGGCGGGCAGCTTTCTTCCCCATTTCTTCTTCTTCCCCACGACCAAAAATCCCCCAAATCTCCATTGTTGAGCTCCAAAGCTTCGAAACCCCACCATTTCTACACCAAATCCATCAAAAACCCCATTTTCTTCATCTCCTCATCACCATCTTCACTCCTACACCCACAAAAAAACCACCCGAAATAACCAAATATCCAAACCATAGCGGGTCCACCCATAGCTCAAATATATCCAATTGCAGTTCCAATTCCACCACCCATCAATGGCAACTAGTATCAACGCACAAAAAAACTCAGGTTGTGAAAGCCAAAACTTTGAATGTTTATACTACAAGTACAAAAGTTTTGCATATTTCAGTGTACATTTTCACAAACTACAAGTTTTATGCATATACAATACAACCTGGGATTACTTTGGCATTCTATTTTGCCATATATGTCTTATTGAATAACATCTATCAACTACAAACCCTTGGTCGCTAAAGAATCAACATTGCGACTTGCGAGTAATAGTAATAATATGAAGCATTATTGGAATTTGATAAAGGCACATGAAAGAAGCGCTATTTTTAGAATTTAGATAATCACAAATAATAATAAGACACGCCTTCGATCTTGAACAACCAAAAGTGAAAATTGGAAATTGATGAAAGCATGGATTGCAGATCCCAGACGTGGTGGAGTTGCAATTTGAGCATCAAGGGGGTGCCAGGCTGCTGTAGATGTGTTTCAAGCCGGGGCATGCAACTCGCAACTTCCCGATGCTCAATGGGCATATCTGTCACAAACCACAAGCAAGTACAATATGCATATTAAATATTGTCGAACCAATACTAGTAGTGAAAACATAGATAAAATGGCCTTACCTTCGGACAAAAGCGGACATCAAGCGTCTCTAGCATGGTACACCCGAATATAGCAGTTTCAACAGCTTCCTCATCAATGTTGCAAGACTAGTGATTATTAATCCAAAGCAAAAACCAGACAAATCAAAACAAGGTGAGGCAAGACAGGATAAAGCAGGAGCAAGATCGCGAGAAATAATAAATAGTACACTGTATATCGACTTCCTCCACCCCAATTTAAGGTTCCATACACTATTGATGCCGTCTATCTGTGTATGTAACTTTCTTTTAGTGACTGATTTTATACAATAATTTTGTATCACATTGGAATTTAATTTTTGAGGTTAAATAGAACCTTTAGTATAATCTCTAAATATGTGAGCTTAAATAATTAATATTAGTTCAAATATTACCAAAGAGTTAATTTTATACTGAGAACCTTACATTGGGATGGAGGGAGGAAACTTTTATGTTGCACCGACAAATAAACACAAAAAAAAAATGTAAAACGAGAAACGTAACATGGAAAACGTTACTTGTTCTGAAAGGCAACAGTGGTAAGAAAGGTTTCAATAAACTTTTCATAATGGTTTATGATATGATTAAATTGTCACCTACCAATGCCACCTACAAACACCCTAAGTGATTACTTGCATCAAAGATACCCCCTAACAAAATATTAAATGGAAAATTCACACTTTTAATCTTTCATTGGTTACATAATGTAATATAGACCTGCCATTCAGGTTTTGTGAATTTAGTCCCTTGATAGTTACACCTGAGATGAAAATTAGACCTCCGTTAGAATAACGATTTAGTATGGAGTCTATGGTTTCTGTGACATTCTTGGCAATATAGAATGCCGAGAATTCCAACATATATCTGACTGCCTCCACCCCACTATCACTGGACATGAGAAAGTCGCACACATATTATGCAAACTGCAAAGCAGAATAATGTGGTTGATACTTTTTATATCTAAATTATACTATCCTCTGTTTCTTTTTAGTTGCAAAATTGACAATTTGGCACTATTCACATTCTCTACTTTGACTACATTTTATTTATTAATGTATGAGACTTTTTTTAAATATTGTTGAATTAATCTCATTACAAATTTTAATAATCTGATTTTTAATTTTTTAAATAGAGAATAAAAATAATGATGGTCAAAGTTGTGTGTTGGCAAGGGCAGAAATGGGAATGCTGCAACTATAAATGAATGGAGGAAGTAACAGTTAGGGACTAAATTAACAAATATTGGAATACATGTCTCAGAAACATGTTTCAAAACAATTAGAGGGATTTAAAATGCAATTTCGCCGTGATTAAAAGCTGGAACATGAAAGACATATTCACCTGAAGGAATAGGTTGCTCAATCTGGGACACTCAAGCTTCAATATTTCCAGAGCACAACGGTTGCTGATAATGAAGAAAAGAGTTGATCAATAGTAATCGTATCGTTCAGCAAACACGGCGAATAACCAGTACTAGTCATACTATGGAAGAAGATTAGTGTACCTTAAATTGAGAGAAGACAAGTTGGAAGCAACATTGACTTCCTTCAGATTTGCAGAGAGGGACAGATTTAGTGATGACAAAAGGAAGCATCGCGCCATGGGAATTACCACCTTCTTGATGTTAGGACAGCCAACAAAGTTGAGATTCTGCAGCAAACGATTTGTTAGCTGTTTGTTTGTGATGCGGATGTCACATACAGCTGATGCAAATGTCGACACTGTATGAGAAATTCCATTTCGGCCCCAATCCAAGTCATGCATATTTATGCACCCATTCAAGCTAACGTGGGTTAAATGTGTACAGAAAGCAAGCAATTCCTCAATGGCAGACTGGCAGTGTCCCATATGACAAGTCCAACTCGATCAGGTCAGGGAGAGCATTTTCTTTGTAAAGAGGTTCCAAAGATGTATCACTAAGATACTTGCATGCTTGCAATTTCAATACCTATATGAATGATCGCAGAATAAGGACCAGCAGTTTATAACAAGATACCAATACAAAAGAAAATATAGCACTTTTTGTCCCCGAGGTATATCATTGGTACACTTTTTAGTACGCAGGTTGCTATCTAGTGTCAACATTTTCAGTCCTCCACTTGCCAGATGTAGCTATTTAAGTACTCCTCAATTACGGTTTTGAGATTGAACACTGAAAAGGTCCCTTTGAGAAAACTTAAAGGACTGACAAAGGAGAGTTTGTGACATCACATAAGGGGTATAACTCAGAGACAAAGTGTCATCTCTATGTGCAGGGCTCTTAAGAGAAATTATAGACTTCACCAATTCTAGAAAATTTTCATCTCTAGATATTACAGCGTACAAGACAATTCAAGAAATAATTACTCCTGTGAAAAATCTAGACTTTAAACACTATTTGGTTATTCTAGAAACTAAAGACCAAACAAAAGGGAGAATACTAATAAACCCAACCTAGTGGGAACCAAATCATGTTTAGTTAGTATTTGAACAAGAGTGCAATGGCAGAAGGGTTCCCTAAATGTAAGCCTTTACTATGCAGCCCACATGTGTATATAAATATCTAGATATAAATAATAAAAATGCATGTTTAATGATTTAACTGCAATAAAAACATTTAAAAAAAGGTCCGCGGAAAGAAAAGTACCCTCAACTGCAAGCAAGAGTCATAAACAGGCTGCAAATTGACCAGGAAGGTGTAGTATAGGTCAAGATAAGTCAAATCTAGAAGCCCGCGTAAAGACAAGAGTCCATCAGAGCCGACTTATGGGCATGACATTAATACCAATGACTTATTGAGAGGACACAAATTTGTTGCAAAAAGAACCAAAACGAGCAGTAGCATCATCAGTATGATACACAGGGACACAAAGTTAGTAATAGCCTAACAAGGACACTCTATCATAAAAGGCACTAGGCAGAGATTAGTAGGTCCTAGAAATATTTTCTCCTTAACCTTTTGTGTAGACTTCATCAATTCTAACTTCTGAGTTATGTATAAATATTGTGTATGACAAGATAAATTACAGAGATAATTGCATATAGCTTAAGAAAATTAGTGAATAATAAGTAGAGAATTACTTAGGAACAGATACAGGACCTAAATGACAAGTCTACTTTGATCATAGAAGTCTTTAAAGCTAAACACCTCAAATTCAAGTTATGACTTATCAGACACTTCACCCATATGTCAAGATATAATTAGTCAGTGCCTAGGCCAATTGATGAAGCCTAGCACCACCTAGACACTTCTAGACTTTACCAAGAGAATGTACCAGAAAAGTAACAAAATGACCTGCAAAATGAAGCATCCAAAGCAGTCAGGACTGAGCAATTAATTGATGCTTCGGAAAGTACACCACAGCCCTTCAATTCAAGTGATGTCATATGTGGTGCGTCAATATGCAGCAAACTCAGTTTGGGACATATACCAAGGTTAAGAGATCTAAGTCCAACCTGAACAAGGGCATAATAAACATTGAGAAACTTTGTATTATGATTTAGGATCTCATCATAAAATGTCAATTTGATATGAAGGGTAGCCTAAGGTTGTACTCAGTATTTGTTTGTTCATATTTTTAGTTTTTACCCTTGTCTAATGTGGGGTGACTTTGACATTTTGGAAAACATTGTCAAAAAACAAATTTTATGAGTGTGTCATATAGAAAGAGTTAGTCAAAATAGAATTTATGGAGGCAGTGTGGGCCACAAGATGAGAATAATTATTGCTTAAAGCATATTAAGATCATCATCATAACCCAAGTGCCGCAAATGCTCCCACCAAAGGTGGGGTAATGGGGGTCGAATGTACGCAGTCTTACCCCTGTACTAAAGAATAGAGAGACTCTTTCCGGATGACCCATAGTGAAAATCGCGTCGAAAATTACAAGACTGACTGCTGCTTCATAACAAAGAAGCGCAAACAGTTTAGTGAGTCATTTTGCTTTATTCCATCATATTCCCAAATCCCAAGCCAAAAAAATAGTGAGTCTTTGGCTCCATCGCAAATTAACACACTTGGTAAAATTGTACGCATCACTTTAGAGACGGGTAAATAAACATCACATTATACAAATAACTATATACGGATGATTCCACTTACAGGACAAAAGGAAGCTCTTTCAAGATGATCACAGCCATCTAATGAGACTTGCTGAAGATAAGGGCATCTGAGTTCATGTGATTTTAAACCTCGACAACCAGCTAGGGAAAGAGTGTTCAATTTAGTACAGGAAAATTCAATAGATGTCAAGCCCTGGATCATTGCAAAACAAATTTAAGAAATTGAAAATTTTATCAGATATCTTGAAGGTGCAAATTAAAAAAAGTACTCCCTCCGTCCCATTTAAAGGTTCCCACACGGTTTATGGTGTTTGACTGACCGTAAAGTTAATTGATCCCTGTCATTAATAAGATTATTTTTAGTAAATAAAATTTACATATTCAGAAACTACATTAAAAGTTTTATAATGTCGCAAAAGAAAAGTTAAATTTGATAAAAGTTGGATATATATAAAGTAAAACATTACGAACAATTCATGTTGACCGGAGAATAGCGGACGAGAACCTTTCAATGGGGCGGAGTGAGTATTAGAATTCAAAAACGAGCCGACCCCAAAATCTTTTGGGACTAAGGCTTGGATGTTGTTGTTTGTTATATTAGAATTCAAAAAAGAAAATATAAAATTGCTTGAAATAGAAAATAGAAGCAGGAGAAAGGAGAGCGCATCTCAAGTCCACACATTACCCTCACTGACCACTCATACCAGTTGTACTGAAATCACATGTTTACACATTACCTCATTGATCACTCACGATATTGTATGCAAGACATGATATAAGATTACCCAAAACAAAATACTGGATGTACCACAATTTGGTGCGCAATATGGTACTCATTGATCAGTTATTCAGTTCAATAATGATATAAGCAAAATGAGTCATGGGCCCCAACAACATCTAGCAAAAGCAAGTCAGGTAACCAGGGTGATAGGAACAATGACAAGAAATGCTACTACAAACCTCACAATTATCAAGAACAAGGATTTCAGATTAGGGCAGCCACCATCTTCTCTGAAAACTTCACAGACAGAATTTGTCAGGCATTCACACTCAGCAAGGTCCACTTCTTGCAAACTGGGACATTGCAATGCTAAGGTGATTAAGCATTCTTGTTTTTGCAACACCAGTTTCTGCATACACAATTAGTAATAATTAAATCACTATTACAGATGTTCATGACCAACACAGGATATTCTCTTCGACTAAAATGGAACATTCGCAAATGCTAGACACCTTGAGAGAGTTTGAAGTGATGCTAATTTGCTGGAGCAAAGGACAATTAGAAATGGTAATTGATGATAGCTTATCACTTCGTAGGTTCAGATCAGCAAATCTGAAATGAAAACAAATCAGTAACAAGGAGAGATCAGAGCCACCACAAGGGAATGCAAATTTGACATATAACTGCTTGAGAAAGAATGTCCATTTCCCCAAGGGCTATCAGGAAAACGAAAGCATCATACTTGCGGCAATGCACGAGTCTTATGCTTTTTAGCATAGGAAGATCCAAAGACACTGTTGTTAACAAGTTGCAGTTATCAAGCTCCAGAACCTATACATTTCCAATATTACAATTTGTTAATCATTAAAAAAACAGTTTACCAAGTACCAACACTACTCTCTGTCACCAAATGAAAATAACATGGTGGATTTTGAGGCTTGACTGATGATAAAATAAGCTCTTTACTGACATTATTATCACTAGAATGAGAACTTAATATCAAATATTCTAAGACATCATAAAATTCTATGAAATTGCAAAAACAAATTTAAATATGATAAAATATAATTATTCCAATAAATTTGTATTTGTAAAAGACATATAATTATGGTGGGGAAATAACTTTTTATATAAAGTTTGGGAATATATATTACATATAAAGTTCTAAGAAGAGTATATTTCACTTACCTGGTCTTTGGTGAGAACTAAATGAACAAAAATAGTTCAAACAGGACTAGGTAAGTGAAATATACTCTTCTTAGAATCTGGTTCCTATATTGCCACTTGAACAGACACCCATTGACGTGCCGAACTAATTTCCTTATTTTGAAAAAAAATGCACAATAAACTGCTGCTGCTGCAATGATCAAGAACAGAAATTCAAGTGTCTTCCCCTGTGGTAAACCTTCTTAATGAAAACAATCAATCCCATGCAACAAGAATGTAGTCCCTCTATATGTGAGTGATCTGTTATGAGTGCCAATGCACCATAAATGGCCTTGCAGTTCAAGATCTCCTTTCACTCCGGCTGTTTCCCATATAAACTTAAACAACCCCAGGGCCCGATCAAGCTGCTTCACTCCTCTCAAAAGCATTTTCTCTTCATATGATGTCAATATTTTCCCCATGCACAGGCGGAACTTATCCCCATGACCAACAGCATATAGTCCCCCACGAACTTCTACTTCAATATCGCTTACGCTACCATAAAGATAATACGTGAGAAGTGTAAATAAGCACCGAGATGAGTGGCCCAGTCTCTTGGTTAATATCTTTTGTACTAAGCTTTCTTGATGGCGGTTTTCCCTGTATCCAATGTTTTTATCTATCAGAATATCCCTTATCTGATAGAGACCTTCTTTCATGACCTCTATCTTCCTAACCTCTAGAGATAATTTTGTTACCTCACTCAAGCAGTCAGCAAGATCAATGAACATCTCAAGAATGTCTTCCCATTTGTGTGAAGTGGGAGGTGAATTGGCATCTCTTGTGGGTGCAACTCGCATCCATGAACTGGAATCGGGGTTGTAAGAAATCGCAATGTCCAAAACCTTCAGACAGCTCAAAACAATTTGCTTTGCCATTTTAGTTTGTTTACTAGGGAACCTAAAATCTAAGTACTCCATCTCAGATTTCAACTTATTTAGTATCACCTCAAGCGCACCAGTCCATATCTGATGTTGAGTTACCTGGGGACATATCGTTGCCCTGACTACCTTCCTTTGTTGAGCTGAAACATTCAAGAACTCAGAAACCTTTGTGAGTGAATCCACGGTCATTGGTTCTCTCTCACCAGCTCTTTTAAAACAATGAAGCTGCTGGTTACCTTTTGCATTGCTCCCTAAAGACATAATAATATTTTTCCTCATGATTTCTTGAACCAAAGGACACCCAATAAAGTCTCTTGCTAGAGACTTAAAAAGATGCATGTTTTCTAGCAAAACGTCATCTTCAATTATCGATTCATCAATAACATTAACAGTCCTACCGTTAACGACATCCACATTATTCAGCAAGTGGGATAACATTGATAGCTTTGAGAAGGCTTTTTCATACCAATCAGACGAAAAAGACTCCAACTTTGGTTCCTCCAAGCAGTGGTATGAAATGGAATCCATTTTGATCACAGCATTCTGCCCAGCTGACAAAACCCTTGATCCACAGAGGAGATTTCTCACAGCTCTCATTCCCATCGCCAAACAAAACTTCACACCAATAACATTTCTATGGAACTCTCTTCCACTGAACCACCAAAAACTGGGTTCTTCCCGATACAGTTCACCGTCACATTATAATCATACTTTCGTTCACCTCATATGTGGCATTTCATCGATCAAGATAAATTGAAGCTTCACCTGCCACTAGAAAAAGTGTAAACTTTAGAAACATGTTCCTAAGGAATCCCAACTGAACATAACGAAAGAAAGAGGATATTTGTTTCGTCTGCGTAAAGAGCAGCCCCTGGGAGAGAGGATGAGGTGTCGAAGTAAAGGGCTAAGAATTCAAGAGCTACAAAAAGGCTTCAATTTGAAGACTTGGAAAAAAATTGGAAATATCCCACACCGAGAACTAAGGAGGAGTTACGCTGTAGAATCTATATATTGGGTAACTTGATTTCTTAAATCCTCACGCAGCCACGCTATAAGCACAAAGCGAACTATTCTTTCGCCTTTTACTAAAGAATACCGTGTGTTTGTAGCAATCAGTGGCATACGCTCATTTTTGGAGGGTTTCCTTTATTGAGGAGCCCAACTAATTCTAGTTCAAATTGTTTTTAGCTGTAACTATGTGATTATTAATAATGTATTATTTCTCTGGTGAGTACACTATGTACACTTCTATGATGCTTGTGTGTATTCAATCAAATAAATTTATCTTCTGTTACGAGATTAGGTTCAAAGTTTCCCTTGAATCCTTTTAATAAAAATTTGTTTTGGTGATTTCATCACTAACATAAATTGGAGCAAGTGTTACGCAATTAGGTGTCTTGGAAAAAAAAGGCATGACTGGTTTAACACTACTAAATTTGAAATTACGGGCATTGTTAGCAAGGGACTCTTAAAATTTCGAGAATATAGAATTTAGAGCATTGTAATAACTTCAATTTGATACATTATGGCTCGAGTAATTCATTACAAATAAAAAGTTATATTCCTGAAAAATTTACAATATCTATATCTGAAATGAGAAAATTTGATGTGTAATATGATTATAGTCTCAAATTTTAAAAATAGCGTGCAATTTATTCATCACTTACATGAAGTCTATAATGTATATGTCATATACGAGTATATCAAATCGGTAACTCTACTAGTCTCATTTAAGCTATCATAATCTAAGCTAGATATGAAAATTTCAACTTATATACGTAGTATTAATTATAAAGATCTACCCTTTATATTATGTATTTAGTTAAGTTTGAATCCGTGAGTTGTATTTTCTGGCTCCACCCGTGAGCTAAGTAGTTAACTCGCTACTCGATAGCTACTCAGTCAAGGGCCGAGTAGCGAGTAGGACCGATTACTCGGGATTACTCGGTGATTACTCGGCCATGTATTAATTAAATATAATAATATAGGTGCTTGAGATTATAGATATATAATAATCTTAAAATAGTCTTTAAATTGCCTTAAATTGCATAGAAGTTAATAAAAAGAAAGAAATCCTATTATCCTAATGACGGAGTAGCAAAAGTCATAAAAGCAGTCAATCATCTAATAAGTTGGTCTGATATTAATCTTCCTTGGGTTCAAGGTCGTGATTTCCTTCTTCATCATCCATGTCCCCCAAATAGATCTTCTCCAAATAGGTCTTTAGTAGCCAGATTCCCCACTTGTTCTTCCTCTTCCACTTCTGGGTCATCTAAATCAAAAGATTTTGTGTGTATTTATCATGAAGGAAAGGAGGGGGGAATATACGAAAGAAGTGATTATCATGTTCTTTTTGTTAGGTGACTAGTACATGACCCGTTTAATATGTCCTTACACTAAACCACATTAGCTAGATTTTCACAAGAGGCTGAACTCAGATTTCCAATTCTGGACCGTAAGTCCGGAATGTAAATCCGATCCAAACTGATTCCAAACTTGTTTTTTTTATCATCAAAACATGTATCTATTCATATCAAAAGATTCAGAATCATTACATCAAGCAAAGGAAAATAAAACTGACACCAACTGAAACTCCAACAATTACGACTCTAACAACTACGACTAGGCCTGGACTCGGTCCGGTTCGGGCCTCGAACTGGCCGGGCCTCGGTTTGTAGAAGTTGGGCCCGGGCCCGGCCCGCTAGTAGACGGGTGCCGGTTCGGGCCGGGTGACCCGGCCGGGCCCCGGGTCGGGTGAACAGCCGGGTCGGGTCGGGCCTGTAAATTTTTTTTTTAATGTTAAAATATACATCTTTTTGGATATTATAAAACAATCTTCAAGTGCATTTATGTGAAATAGGAACTACATTTGAGAATTGAGAACAATTAAATCTAATACATTTTGTAATAAGTAATAATAATGTAATATAATTAATTTTAAGTTTCTAACTTTCTAAGTTGTAAGTTGTAACTTGATTAATTTGAGAATTGCGACATATAAAAAAATATAATGTATATTGATTTGAAATATGAACTACAAATCTACAAGTTGACAAATTACAATAGAGAATTGAGGATAAAATAATAAATTGTAAAATACTAATCAATCGGAATCTCCGGCATAGGTAGAACCACCCTCAGTTGATTCATCCATAAAGTCTTGGGAGAGGGTGATGCTAACTTCTTGAGTTCTACGTCTTGCCTTCAACCAATCGTGGTAGCATATAAGCGTCTCAAGAGATTCGGCACTCAAACACGTTCTCGATTTAGTTAGGACGTTGCCGGCCGAACTAAATTCTTGTTCCACGGCAACTGTTGAAACCGGCATTGATAGTACTTGCTTAGCCATCCGTGCTAAAATCGGGAACATTCTTTCTTTTGACTTCCACCACTTTAGGACGTCAAATTCTTCATTTTCTACAAACTCAACCTCATAGTTAGTATACAAAGCAATCTCATTAATTGTGCTTTGTTCGCTAGTGTGAGTTGTTTTAGTTTTTTCATAAGATTGCCAAATGCAGATTTAAAAAGTGATTTTCCTTTATATGAAGATGTTTGGGTCGGGGGAGGGGGCGCGTTGCCATATTGTGCACGAAACTCATTAAATAAAGAATAGAATAAACTAATAACCTCATTGTATTCAGATTGCGGATCTATAGGGTTATCTTCATACATTGGAAAATCACCATAAAAAGATTGATAATAGAACTTGTAACATTGTTCCAAATTACCAAGTCGAAAACGAGGATCGAGAATAAATGCAATACCATAAATATGCGGAATATGTGCATAATATTTTAAAAACTTTTCCTTCATAAAACCACAAAAATAGCTCACATAATCGGCATTTGCAAATTCATTAAAAGCACCGGCGAGATTAACAAGTTCACGCATAAATTCGTTTGAAGTAGGTTTATAAACATGACTAAAACTTTCAGTTGCATTATTAAAATACATCAAAACATTACAAATTTTTTCGCAAGTGTCGATGTGAGCGGAGTTTAAAATGTAGTTATCATATTCTTTTAAAAAAGCAGGAAAATGTTCTTTATATCTAATAAGAACTCTAATTAATTTATAAGAACTATTCCACCGAATAGACAAATCTTTAGGAAAAACAACATATTTCACATTTCTTTCATTCAAATAATTTTTCCATTTTAATTTTAGTTGACCATTAGCCCAAATACGTCTAATCCCCCCCTTCGCTACCTCCATAGCATCTCCCAACGCTTTTAGACCATCCTGCACACATAAATTTATTATATGGCATGCACATCGTTGATGAAAAAATCTACCCATCAAAGTAGTAGAACCACACAATTCACACAATCTAGGTATAGCAGCAGTATTATTAGTAGCATTATCAAAACCTATAGCAAACACCTTATTAACCAAATTATACTCAATTAAAATACGCTCAATCAAAATATAAATATGTTCAGCGGTGTGACGATCATTAAATTCACGAAAAGCAAGAACACGTTTATGCATATTCCAATCATCATCAACATAATGTGCAGTCAAACCCAAATAATGTAAATTATGATAGGTGTCCTCCCATATGTCAGAACAAACAGTAACACGCCCATCATAGTTTGCAAAAAAATTGTAAGTTTGCCTTTTCCGCCTTATAAAGCCTTATATTTTCTTTCTTAACCCTTTTTCGACTAAAACTTCGAAATTGAGGATTTAAACAAGTTTGTGCATACTCTTGAAAAGAAACAGTTTCAGAAAACAGATAAGGTAAATTTTCTTCAACCATAAAGTTAGCCATACCCGTCAAATTTTGTTGATCACTGTATGAGAAATTACCATAAGGTTGGTTATTTGCAAACCTCGATATTTGTGTTTGCTTCCCCTTGCCTTTCTCAATTTTTGCGTACTCCACCTTGTGCTTGCCCATAAGATGCCTTTTGAGGCTCCCGTATCCGCCCGAAGTTCCCAAGCTATACACCTTATCACAATGGTTGCAACTTGCTTACCATTTCTCGGTGTTTGGGTCTTTATACTTTTTAAAATTATTTTCTATAATAGGAGATTTAGATTTCGTACCTGTTTGGGATGAACCACCCTCGTCCTCCGCCTCTTGCTCCTCATTCGGGGTGCCGTGACTCCCGGCGCCCCCCGCGTCCTCCTCCGGATCGTCATCCTCGAGCTCTTCTTCGTCAATGGTGTGAATCTCGTCCGGGATGTCTCGTTGATGGAAAAATCGCTCATCATTTTGAGCCAATAGTTGTTGATGTTGCTCGTCGGACATCGCATGGCCATCTCGCCATTGGTATTCCGGTTCAAAATCTTGTCGACTTTGAGAAGAAGACCCGGACTGCCCGGTATTCTTGCGCAAACTAGGATGAGTTCTCGCAATCTCCTTCTTTCGGTTGCGTTGGAGATTTCCCATATCTACAGAATGTCTACCACGGTCCATCTTAACAAATATAAAAGTATATCAAATATTTTAATATGAGTACAACAATAATAATAAAATGCAACAATTAACTAGTTTTATACTTTAATTAAAATGTAACAATTAACTAGTTGTACACTTTAATGAAAAATGCAACAATTAACTAGTTTTATACTTTAATTAAAATGTAACAATTAACTAGTTGTACACTTTAATGAAAAATGAAACAATTAACTAGTTTTATACTTTAATTAAAATGTAACAATTAACTAGTTGTACTCTTTAATGAAAAATGCAACAATTAACTAGTTTTATACTTTAATTAAAATGTAACAATTAAATACTTGTACACTTTAATGAAAAATGCAACAATTAACAAATGAACAAATAGCGAAATGACAAATGCAACAATTAACTACTTTTATACTTTAATTAAAATGTAACAATATTCTATTAACTACTTGTAGGTAATAGAATTGTATAAGTGTATAACTAATATATAATATAATGTTTATAATATATAATGTATAAGTGTATTACTATAAGATGACTAATACAATTAACTAATCAAGTAATGTTAATACAATATTAAACAAATATACTTCGAATAAAAAAGTATAATAT